GAGCCTTCGACAGTTCGAGGGCAAGGTCAGGCGACCGCTCCACCAGGGCAGCCCCGGGCAGACGCTCGAAAACACGAGCGCGCAGACGCACGCAGCGCAGCACCCTCGCAGCAGGAAGCGGCAGGCAGCCGCACACAGAGTGGCGGCCAGGGGCGAGCACGAAACGCACGCAGCCACATGGCACGCCACGGACCGCACGCACCGCAAGCAACGACGGGCAACCATCCAACCGGGGCAGCCACAGGCAACCACTGAGCATGCGCAGCCACGCGCGCACCGCGTGCTGCGCTCACCTCGGACGACGACGGGCAGTTGCTCAACCGGGGCGACGACGACCGACTTCTACACACCGCACACGCGCACGCGCGCGCGCACGCCACGTGTCGCACGCGCGCGCGAACCACGCTGGGCAGCCGCCCGCTCCGAGGCGGCCCCGGGCGACCGTTCAGCGCACGCCGTCGCGCGCACACCGCGCACGCGCACGCACGGCGGGCAGGGGCAGGCGAGCACCTGGCCGAGCGCACGCGGACACGCGCGTGCCACGTGCTGCGCGCACGGCGAGCAACGGCGGGCGGCTGCTCAACCGGAGCCGCCCCTCGCTTCTCCTCGCAACGGGCGTCCTGCCTGGGGCATCCGTGTGCACAGCTGTGGGGCGGGGCTCTCGCTGCAAACGCGCCCGTGCGACAACGGAGGTATTGAGCTTCACATCGATCTCTGTAAATATCGTCAAGCATGGAGCTCCCGCCGGAGACATACTCAGAACACACTTGTATGTCAGACTAGGTAGTTTAGGATGTCTTCTTGAAGCTTCTTTGGAGGACCTCCACGGCTCAAGAAGCAAACCGAGTGCACAATCGTTGTGTCTCCAAACTTTTGTCCAAACGCAGGCGTTTCGCCTGAGACATCATCAGACACAGAGTTCGGACGGGTATTTGGAAGTCGGCACATGCAGAAAAATGTTCTCCAACATGTCGGTTTTCGGTCGGAGGTCCAACAGAGGTTTTCAAACATGGCCGTTTCGCTTACATCCTCCAATCGTCGGCTTCGAAGGGGGCTCTGAACCAGCATCGTCTGGGAGTCGTTCCAGGAGGGCTTCAGAGCGGCCCCAAAGAGCTCCAACGGCCCCCTGGAGAACCCAAATAGCACCCATGAGCGCCCCAAGAGGGTCTGAAGAGGCTCCCAAGAGCGCCCCAGGAGCCCCCAAGACGGCCCAAGAGAGCCCAAGACGGAGGCGCCAAGAGAGCCCCAAATTCCCTCCCTCCCGAGACACGCCCAGACAGTCCGAAAAGGCCCAGGCGACCTCAAGAGAGGATCCCGATAGGCTCCAACGAGGTGTCCGAGAGGCTTCTGAGAGGACCCACAGAGGCTCGAAGAGGGCTTCAGACGCTCCTGGTAGTCATTACGTATCGTAGGTCCGACGAGTACCAAGGGCTCTCACTACCTCCACGTCCTTCTCGTCGTGCTCCTCGTCCCTCCGCTCTTCGTCGTCCTCCTCCTTCTCGTCCTCCTTACTGTCCTCCTCGTTGTCTTCCACGCTGTTCTCAACTTTGTCTTTCTCCGAATCGTCCTCCCCGTCGTCCTTGTCCTCTCCCGCCTTGTCCTCGTCCTCCTCGTCGTTCTCGTCCTTCTCGAGAGCCTCCTGATCTCTTCTCCAGACAGCGTTGCTTCTGTTGTAGCGATCGGCCGCGGACATGTTCGCTCAAGCTTGTTCCCGGAGGATGCCTGTGGTCCCTCCATGGGCCGACGGCGTGGTCAGCCAGCTCGCGCATGGGGTGTCCTCTTGGCGGAGTCCGGAGCCGGCTGCTCCGCCGTGTCTGCGCTGCCCAGACTGCCAGTGCGGGTGCCTGGCGGCGCCGCCCCGCCCCGCGTGTCTTGGGGCGCCCGAGCCGTGCATCGCGCCGCCCGTCGAGACGACGAGGGTTGGGCCCACCGCGCCATCGGTGGCGGCGGCCTGGCTCACGACCGCGCTGGCCGCCGCGCCCCGCCTGCCCGAGGCGGAGCAGGTGGCCGATACCTGCTATAGGAGATGTCGGGCCCCCCCGCTGTGGCACCAGCGCTGGCTGATGGGCCAGGTTGTGTCCTGTCCAGACGACGCCATCCTCGTGTCGCCCGACCGCCTGGTCCAATGGGAATTGGTCGACGGGTCGTCGGCGGACACCAGCGTGGTGCGATGGGCCGACGGGCTCGCGCCCCGGCCGCTGGGCGCTGGGAGGATCTGCGGATTCGGCGCGGCGCCGACGCCGGCGGACGTGGTCACCTTGCTCCCCGACGCCGAGGCCGAGGCGCGGTGGTGCTACCTGCGGCGCCATCCTGGGGCGGCCTTGCCCGCTCCTGTCTTCAAGCCATACCCTTGGGCGGCGCCGGCAGCCGCCGCCGCTCCCCTGGCGCATCCCCCGGTGGCGGCCGCGGCCGTCGCGCCGTCGGGCATGCCGGCGGGGGCCCTGGGGCCGGCCGCCGCGGCCGCCCCGTCCGCTGTGCCCTGGCCGGAGGCGCGCTCGGAAGCGGGGCAGTGGCTGCTGCGGCCGCGGCCGGGGCGGGAGGCCCAGGCGGCGCAAGTGGGGGAGGCCACCCTGCTGGGGCGGCGCTGGCGGCGGTGGCCGGGGCGCTTCCGCTGGCGGCGCCCCGTGGGTAATTGACGGGTGGAGCAGGAGTGGGAAGTCTATTACTGCGGCGACGGTCGCGCCGCCCGCCTTCTCCGCCAGGACGTGCTCCCCACCCCGAGGGGTCGTTGCTCTGGTGGACGGGCCCCCGCTGTTCATCGAGTGGGTCGCCGTGTCCTGAGGAGGGTGCCTTCAGTGTCTGGGCGGTGGCGCCCGATTGCCGTCTGCTGCCAGTGCGACTGGACCGACCAGGCGGGCAAGCCTTGCAGGAGCCTGGCCAACATCGTGGAGAGCTGTCGGGAGGAGGTCGTTAGCGGACTTCTGAAGCCGATGACGTCCGTGTGTTGCCTGGAGCCAGCGACGGTTGGTCCTTAGAGAGTCATTTTGAGCATTCCAAGAAGTTGTGCAAGAAGTTGTGCGGGTTTCAGGATACCCAGTGGGGCATGGAGGGGTACGCGCAGGTGGTGAGCTACCTGAAGGCGCTGTTGCAGCACGACTAGATGGACGGTCTGATCAGCCCTTTCGCCCCCATCGCGCCTGTCAGCCCTGTCTCGGGGGGCGCTCTCGCTTGGGCTTGCAGCTGGGGTTGCCCATCTAGATTGGCCAAGTCGACATGACAGATGCCTGTTATCACGTTGGGGGCCTGGGGGCCCAGTCGAGCTTTGCGCGTTTTCCAGTTGGCGCAGGGTGCGCGTCTCCCGGGTAAGCGCTTCCCAGGTCGGATGGGGTCCTATTTGCCCGATGCTTGGATTTTCCATCGGCTGCGTGCGCCCCCCGCGTGCTCGCGGTGCCGGGCGATCCGCGAGGGGGCGGCCGAGGAGGGGGGGTCCCCTGCTGAGGCCCAGCTCGCCGACGTATGCCCCCCTGCCCCCCTCGCTTCGTCTACCCGTGCGCGGTGCGTTGATGCTTCTGTTGTCTTTGTAACGAGCGAGCAGGAGGTGCGCGAGCGACTGGTTGGCATTTCGTCTGCGCTCGAGTTTCGTGGCCTTCCGCTGCGCACGCGAGAGGTGCGCCGTGGGCGGGGGTGGTCTTTCGGGTGGAAGATCGGTGGCCTGCGTCGTGTCTTCCGCCTGGCCCTCGAGCGAGTCTGGAAGGCGCGGCTTGGCGTCCGGGGGCTTCTGGTGCGGGGTAGTTGCTCGGGTGGGGACTTGGGGTGTCTCCTGGGCCATCTTGGTTTCATGGGCTTCTCCTGGCGCGAGAGTCTCGGCGTTTTCTAGTGACGTTATAGGTTTTCCGAGGCGTCCGGGTCTCGCCGCTCGTGTTAGTCAACGCCTGGGCCGTCGCCTGCCCCGACGTCGTCGTGGTGGGCGCGTCGCCGCGGAGCCTCGGGGCCGTTCGTGGGCGCCCTTCGCTCGTGCTCGTCAAGCAGGCCACCTGTGTCTCGGAGAGGGCGGCGCCCGAGTGGCCGCCAGGAGTTGCGAGGTACCGCGGGAGGGCGCTCGCTGCGGCTGCCGAGCAGCTTCGCCTGGACGATAGGGGCCCCGACAAGCAGATCCTCGTGGAGCTCGCGCGGCCCCCGCCGTGTGACCAGGATGGCCGCGATGGCAGCTTCGGTGCCCGGCGTGCTGCGTAGGCATCCCACGAAGCCCCCTGGAAGGTCTGCGGGGGGTCGAGATGGAATCGGCCCTGCATTGCCATGCCTGTCCTCGCTGCCGAAGCCTTGCTGTGCGAAGTTCGACATCAGTGGCGCTCCATAGCCAACCTGGGATCGGGGCTCTTTGCCACTGGCGATTCCACAGATATGCAGCCTTGGCGACTGGCAAGGGCCGCTCCCCCACCGATGCCGCGCTGTCGGTGACCCGCCGCTTCGGGGCGCTGCTTCTGGCGTCGGGGTGCTTCCTGCGGGCCCGCTGGATCGCGCCGGGGCCGGGGCCGGCCGACGGTCCGTCGCGGGGGCGCGGGCCCCCGAGCGACCCCCTGGCCCTGGCCCCCCGGGCCGCTGGTTCGCCCCGTGCGGCGGCGGGGGCGGCGCGGCGGGCGCGGGCGGTCCAGCTCGCGGCGGCCCGCCCGTCCGTGGCGAGCAGTGTCTGCTCCGGCGCGCCTCGGTCTCGGCGAAGACATGCCCAGCGCGCCCTCTTGCTGGCCGCCCTCGGCCGGCGCTGCCGGGCCAGGTGGGGCCCGCAGCCGGATTCGGAGGAGGAGTGGGGCAAGCTGTCCTCGCGCCTGATGGAGATCATGTTCGTGGAGGGCGGCCCCCTCAGAGCTGGCGACAAGCCCCTGGCGTCGGTCCAGCGTGCCGAGCCGCGCCTGGGGCGGCTGGGGGGTGGGCGCGCGCCCGTTAGTCGCCGTTGCCTCTGGGGCTGGCGCTGCGACGCTCCGTCAGGTGGCCGCCCCCCGCTGCCCTGCGACGTGCTGGCCCTGCCAGCGTGCTGGATGATCTGTTGCGGCCGGCGGGCGCAGGCCCTGGCCGTGCTGGTGATGATGGAGATGTATCTACTGCTGGGGGGGCCTCTCATGCTCCGAGGCCGGGGCGTGGTGTCGGGCGACTTCGCGAGAGCTCGCGAGTGGGCGCCCGCGTCGATCCTGCCGCGCACCTTCGAGATGCGGGCCCCGTCGAAGACCCAGGTTCGACCGGGCGATCTTGTTCGACCTGCCCTGGCAAAAGACCCTCGCGGAGGCGCTGGCGCAGCTGGGCCGAGATCAGGGCGGCCTCGTGTTGTTCGGCTTCTCGTCCGCCGCCCTGCGCCAGGTCCTGGGCGCGGTCGCCGCGGCGTGGCGCCTGGGGCCGCTGGGCCCCCTCGACGCCAACCGTTTCTGGCGCGCGGACGCGAGCCTGGACTTCGCGACGGGGGCCCCGCGCCGGGGGGGTCCAGCGCCGTGGGCGCCGGTGGTCAGTGCGCAGCTCGCGGCGGCGCCAGCGCGGCTGGCGCATGACTGAGCTGCTACGCGGGCGATCGCCAGACGTGCAACGGGTGGCGGCCGCCGCGCGGGAGCTGTCCGACGTGCTGCGCGGGGGGCGCTTGCCTTCGCTGGGCTGCTGCAGGCGCTGCAGGTCGTGGTCTTCTTCGCGCCGTTGGCTGGGTCGGGGCGCTTGTCGGGCGCCGTCGCCAAGATGAGCGTGCCCGCGTTCCGCTGGGAACTCCTCGGCCCCGCCTGCGACCTCATGCGCCCCGGGGGCGCCGGCCTCGTCCCGGGCTGGATCCGGGCCGCCGCAATCAGCGGCACGCGCGTCGGCTTACCCTGCGAGACCTCCTCGCGCGCGAGTGGCCGGCCCGGCGGGACCCCCTGGAGAAAAAACACCCGACTTGTAGCTTTCCTGATTGATCTGCCGTCCCCGTCGGCCTCTTGGTGCTCTGGCCGAGTTTGTGTAGTGAGAGGTTGCAGGCATCATTGTCTCCTGGGGAAGAACGCTTTGGGGACTTTGAGGACAAAGTTGGCCGAAGCGTGCCCGCGAACATTGTGCAGCATCTTGGCCCGGGCCAACGAGAATGGAACAGCTAGTTCCCATGGCAGTCAATCTCAAACATTGATCGACAGAGCTGCTGGCCTTGGCAAGTGTGTCTGAAAGCGTCTTGGGCTGGAGAGCGCTGCGGGCAGAACCGGAGTATCTCCGCGTGCCGCCCAGGCTCCCGCCGCCGACGTGGATATGCAACCCGCTCCGTGCAGTGGCCCAGCGCCCACTCCGCGCACGGCGGCGGCGGCGGTGCGGCGTAGCCGCCGAAGGTTTGCAGTTTGCAGCCTTCTGCTTGTGGTGTCTAGCGTTTCTCGTTTCTCTGGCCGCTGCGAGGGTCGTCCCCCCATCGGCGGCCACCTGCGATCGCGTCGCCCTGAATCCAGCCACCTGGCTTCAGTGAGTATAAAGGCGTGATTTGTTCTCCGATTACTGGCTTTCTATTGTAGCGACCAGCCGCTAACGTCTTCGCTTAAGCGTCCTCCCCCTTTCGCTTTGCATTTCTGTCGCCTGTGTGTTCGAACGTTTGTCGTTTCCGTGGCCGCTGCGAGGGTCCTTTCTCCGGCGGAAGCCGTCTGCGGTCGCATCGCCCTGAATCCAGCCACTTGGCCTCAGTGAAAAATTGAGAGCGTCCTCCTCCTTCCTCCTCCTCCTTCTTTTTCTGTTCTCTCCGGCCTTCCCCTCCTCCGAGTCGTCCACGCTGCCGCCCTCCCACCCTTCGTCTTCGATCTTGTCGTCCTTCTCCTTCTCGTTCTCGTTCTCCTCGTCTTCGTCCTCCTCGTCCTTGTGTTTGTCTTCCTCGTCGGAGTCCTCCTATTCATCCCTTTTCCTTCGTCTTCCGAGCCGTGTGGGCAAACGCAGTGCTTTCCGTTCTTGCCTGGTCAGGTTTTTGGTGCCTGTCAGTTTTTTTTTGTTCTGCGGGTAAAGATCCTCTCAAAGCAACTGATGATTGTGATGCTGATTGCGATGCTGATGGTGACGATGATGAGGAGTAGTAATCAACATGCTATCGCAAGATGCGACATGCATCCCGAACCGCGTAAAAGGCTGGGAGAAACAGCAGCTCTCGAGACAGCGCAACATTTTGTGCAGGGCTGGATATAGCACCGCCTGGAATGCGTGACGTCTGGTACATTTCGTCTGCATCCAGTTGCCTACAGTAATTCCCCCCACCGTGCCTTGGTCGTGGGTCGGAAGCCTATTGGATGTTCGTTGGGATCTCGTGGGAGGCCTCTCGCGGGCCTCTTGGAGGCAGTTTGGAAACCTCTCGGGGGCCGTTTTGGGGTGTCTTTTGGGTCTCTTTGGGCATCCCAGGGCCCTAGTCTTCGCAAGAGTCTGAACCACCAACAACATCATCAACAACAACAAAGGACCCGACACAGACCACCACTGCAGACGCGGTGGCGGGTAAAGAAAAGGATAGGGGAAGCAGGAGGACGAGCACGGGGAGCACCGGGAGGGATGGAGAGGACCCACAGGTAGGGCCACGCTCACGTCGCCTGGGCCAGCGTGGCTTGCCTGTCGTGTACCCCCCTCTGAGGAGCCCGCCTCCATCGCGCTCAAAGACGCCAGCCTCGACTCGTACCATCAGCTCCTCGGGAATCTTAAGATCCCGTCGGCGGCAGATATTCTCAGCGGCAGTGGCCCAGTCAGCGCGCGTTCCTAACTTTGCGTGCACCTCTTGCGAGGATCTACGCCCTGCGTGCCAGCCGTGGGTGCGCCAGCAGGGCGTATGCTCGATTTCAGCTTGATGATCAGCGAATTCAGGCACCCTGCTAAGCCCGATGTCTTCCTCGCGAAGGCGACGAAGTCCTCGGGCTTGACAGGACGTTCCAGAGAAACACGTTAAGTGCTTGAGCAACCAGGACCTGTCGTTGCCTCCAAGAGGACAACGACCTGTAGTTAGGACTTTGCTTGGATTTTCAACAGCGTTCCAGGCGAGGGACTGCATCTGTAATTCCCACCGACCACTACGCGCTTTGTGTTGCTCCGACATGTGCCCTCAACATTTGAGCTGGCATCCTTCCGATATGGGTTGGTCTCTCTGGCCGTCTCCGTAGAGGCGCACAGCAATACAGATGCGCACAGCAATAAATTGTACAGCCATGGGGGTAGTATGGGTGATGGCTTGGCATGTGGGTACACCCTTGCACCTCTCAGCAGGGCAGAACGGCTAGGGTGGGGTAGGGGAAGGGGCAATGTGCGGAGGTGGGGAGGAGAAGTGGGCAACAGGGTCGAGCCACCAACAAACCACCACGAGGGAGGAGCTTTCCTGTCTGGGCGTCCTTCCATGCGGACCAATGCACGTCTATGCATGCAGTGGCGTTGGGGGTGGTCGGGACAGTCAGGGCACGTCCGGCTGGTGGCCCTCGGGGAGTCCACGAGGGCGGGCCCCTCTATCAAGGCCATTCGATTGTCATGAGGAGGAAGACCACACGAAGGATATCTTCCAGGAGGTTCCGGTCTCTGGGCTCCTGGTTCGCCCTCGTGCGGGCTTTGGTCAGTGCACCCCGTGCAGCCTCGACGTGAAAGATGTCATGCCCCCTGGATCCCCGCAGGGCCCACGAGTTGTCGAATTATAGTGATGGGGCCGAACGGTTTTACACGCACTGCGTGCGTGGCCGAGGATGATCCCGACATCTGCAAAACAAATTCGTTCGTTCACTCGCTGAAACTGGATAAAATGCCGATTCCACCGCCGATTGATCAGTATGGCAACACTTCGGCTATTCTTCGTGTAACCAGAGCCCATAAACGTGTGTCCGCATTTGGCTTCCGTATTTCACATTCGTGTGTGCGCCAAGTCTTGCATAGCATAAGCAAGTCCCAATTGAGAATGAATTTCGTATATCAACTCACAGAGTCGTTCTTCGGTGCATAATCCACAAACGTTCTTGTGGTAAATTTCCAATCCGAGGCACCCCTTGTCGGAAGTGGGAGGGCGGTGAGTCGAACTTGAAGGTCGGGTGTCGGGGACGGTGGAATGTGACTGGGTCAGTTGGTGGTCGGAGTGGGACGTTGGAGTGGAAAAGACAAGATCCCGCCTTGGTGGCGATGTCGAGGTAGCCGGTGTCGCTGTATCAGCTGGAGGTGAAACGCAAGATGTGGCAGTACACGGTGGGGTCCTGTCCTGGGTTGCACCTGAAGGCATAGCTCCTTTGAGAAAGTCACGCTCAACCAATTTACATATTTCCCTGCCTCCGTCTATGGACTTATGCGGCTGGGGGGAAAAGGAGGGAGGATAATCCCCAACTGGGGTGGGTTCGTAGTCGCAGCATCGATGTTGGAGTCTCGGTGGTGGGGTCAGAGTCGGAGTCAGGCCATTAAGGGCCTCTAAGGAGGAGGAGGAGGAGGAGGAGGATGAGGAGGAGAAGGCCTCTGAGGAGCTCTCTTGGGGCCTACTGGGAGCCTCCGGGTGGCTTCTTGATGGCCACTTGGGGGCATCTGGTAGCTCCTTGGGACGTCTTGGGAGGCTCTGGGCCCGTCTGACGCCTTCGGAGGCCGTCTTGGGGGACTCTCTGAGCCGTCTTGGTGCCCTCTTGGAGCGCTGTTGGGGCGTCTTGGGGCCCTCGTGTGAGGCTCTTGAGCCATCTTGGGGTCCTCTTGGGCCGACTTGGGGCCCTCTTTGGGAGCCACATGAGCTGTCTTGCAGCCATCTTGGAGGCCACTTGGGTCGTCTTGTGCGGTCCGAAACCCAAACAGGTGAGACCTCGAAATTTTTCAAACGCCATAGGAAAACACAGGTCTTTCGTTTTTCGCCTCCTCGGGCTCTCCTGGAGGGCTTCTTGAAGCCCTCTTGGGTCGGCTTGGGAGCGTCTCGAGCCGCCTTGAGACCTTTTGGGAGCCTCTTAGACTCTTATGCCGTCTTGTGCCATCTTGTGTCGTCATGATGTTGTCGTCTTGGCTGTCTCGTAAGCCTTTCTGAGACCCGTCTTACTCGCCGTATGCAGGTGGACGAGAGCCGGATATGAGAGCAAATTAAACGGGGGTGTTTTTTAGGGGTGTGCGCTTAGAACCCCAGAACGCACGAACAAGTCTTCCTTGCAACATACAGCTTTCTAACACGCCCATTCCGTTCAGGCACGGTGTTGTTGTTGTTGTTGTTGTTGTTGTTGTTGTTGTTGTTGTTGCTGCTGCTGCTGCTGCTGCTGCTGTTGCTGTTGTTGTTGTTGTTGTTGTTGTTGTTGTTGTTGTTGTTGTTGTTGTTGCTGCTGCTGCTGTTGTTGTTGTGGTTGGTGTTGGTGTTTGTGTTGTTGTTGTTATTCTTCTTTCATTTGTATACTTATCACCACTAATATCATAGTTATTAGTGTATTATCATTCTGTTGTTGTTGCTGGTGCTGATGTTGCTGTTGTTGCTCCTGCTGTTGTTCTTGCTCCTGCTGCCGTTGTTGCTGCTGCTGTTTGTTGTTGTTGTGGTTGTTGTCGTTGTCGTT